CACAAAACTTTGGCTTCAGCCGTTAATTCCTGTACTGAATTATCCCATAGTCTTTGTATGATACGATGAAATGCTGATGATATACCCCTAGAAAATAAATAATCAGGATCAGTACTAGCCTGACTAATCAAAGAGCCTCCCATGAACAAGCATTAGATACTGGTCCATAATGTGAGGAATGAATATTAAGGTTTTCTTTTCTGCTTGATTCTGTGAAATGCAGGAATGATTGCTTTCAGGGCCTCTCTAGAAAGCCAGTTCATTTTTTTTTTTCCAGCAAGCGCAGCTTAGATCAATAAGATTTGGTTCTACAACCAACAGTGTTCGCCTTCATATTTTAAGGAGATGGTCGGCTAATGGATATCCTATTTCTAGACTGCATTTGGCTTGTAACATAATGCTTCATCTTTTTCTTCTAGGCCATGGCTGTTCTCTTCTCAAATTTTGTTATCATAACAACAGCTCTTCTGTTCAGAATAGTGCTGAAGTGAGTAATTATGGAAACGTGTTATCTTTTGTCATTTCTTTGTTTCCTCAAAGTTCTCTTCTGAAGCAATTGTAAACAAGGCTCTAAAGATAATTAAGATTAAAAACACATCAAAAATAATTAGAACATTATTACCGCTATCATGTATTTGTTAATGAATATGTGGCTAAGCTGAGTTTGGTTTACTTGCTATGTTTTTTGTTGATGATTCAGGAGGCAGTCCTAAATACATGTTAATCTTATTGAACTGGGTCAAATTTGTATTAGCTCCCCCCAACGCTTGTCTTCAAATTCAGTCATAATATTCTTACACTTACTTACATAGTGTAGGATTGTTCTAAAGAGCATTTACACAGTTTCAATAGATACAAAATAATTCCATGTGCAGAGTGAATTATTCTGTTAGGTGTGAGAGGCATTGTAAGCTTACTGTGTTCTGCCTTTGGATTTCTATAGTATTATTGTCCTAAGAATGCTTCCTGGGATGATACTGGAAGGGAAGCTGCAATTCTGTTTCATACTGCTGCTTTATTAAAGAAGATAACTCTTTTTTTCCTACCTATTATTTGTGCTTCTTGGGGCCAACTTACATATTTTCTTTTCTCTCCATGCAGGCGGCAGGTCTCCTGGGTGCAATGGGCATCTTTGCTGATTCTTTTCCTATCTATTGTAGCTCTAACTGCAGGGACAGGAAGCAATAAGCATAGCTTGGCTGTGCATGGATTGCATCATGACATTTTTCTCAGCCATTCAAATAGTTGCCTTCAGTACACCAAGCCAGAAGAAGAATGTTGGGGAAAAGAGAACTGCAGCCTTAGATGGTCCTTCCCTGGCTTTAGCTGGAATGTCACAACTGCTGCAGGATCCATGAAAACAGTTCGTCTTGGACTGGGACATCTGCTCATACTAGTACAGTGTTTTATTTCAGCATTAGCCAACATCTACAATGAAAAGATATTGAAAGAAGGAGGCCAGTTCAGTGAAAACATCTTCGTGCAGAATACCAAGCTGTACCTCTTTGGAGCTATGTTTAATGCTCTGATGCTAAGCCTGCGCCCTGAAAATAGACGCCGGATAGAGTATTGTGGTTTTTTCTATGGTCACAACATATTCTCTGTGGCCCTTATTTTTGTCACTGCCTTCCTGGGGCTCTCAGTGGCCTTCATTTTGAAGTTCCGAGACAACATGTTTCACGTTTTGACTGCACAAGTTACAACAGTGATCATCACCACTGTGTCAGTTTTTGTATTTGACTTTAAGCCTTCCATGGAGTTCTTCTTGGAAGCACCTGTAGTTCTTTTGTCTATATTTATCTATCACTCCAGCAGCCCTCGTTGTATGGAATACACTGTTCAGTGGGAGAGGGGCAAACTTAATGGAGGTGCATGGGAGCGCTCTAGTGGGGTAAGGCTTTGAAAAGTTTCCCTTCTAGATCATTCTGTGGGCCAGGTGATTTCAGCCCACGCCTCTGGTTGTGATGTGAATAGAAATGTTTGACATCATTGTTAAAATAGCAACCTTCTGCAAGTACAGGTAGTCCTTGGTTATGACTGCTTGCTTAGCAACCATTCGAATTTATGATGGTGCTGAAAAAGTAGGTTTATGACTGGTCCTTGAACTTACAACAGTCGCAGCATCTGCACGGTCACATGATCGTGATTCAGATGCTTGGCAACTGGTACTCATTCACAATTGTTGCAGCATCCTGTGGTCACATGATTGCCATTTGCGACCTTCACAACTGGCTTCCAACAAGCAAAGTCAATAAGGAAGCAGGCAGTAATTCATAAGTAATGGTCACATGATATCTCACTTAATGACCACAGGTGATTCACTTAACGACTGCAGAGGAACTGATACAGTATAATAAGTCAGGCATGGTCATATGATGTTTCACTTAACGACTATGTCGCTTAGTGACAGTGTTGCTGGACCCAATTGTCGTTGTTAAGTGAGGACTATCTATAAGTGTGTGCCTCTGCTTCCCATATACTAGTTTGCTTTAAAAAGTTTGTCCAAATATTATGCCACAGTTTACAGTTTGTTATGAATGCATCCAAGTAAGTTTGTTATGGCCCTGTACAGCTGTTGGAGAAATCAGTACACATAATTGGATGCAGTCACAACAAACTATAAATGGAAGTCATTTCATTTGAACCATGCTCATGGGTAGCCCAGGTGAAGCAGTTCCAGTGGTACAAAGCGCTGCTGTTTCTTTCTGCCTATTTGAGAAACGGTTCTTTTTTGGGAAACAACAGAGAAGCTCCTCTGTGTGAGGGTGCTGACCCAACAGAGCAATCAACTGCTACTGCTCTTTGTAATAAAGGATGTGGTTCATTCAGAAAACTGGAACAGAAGATCAAGTGGTGGCCTTTCTGGAAGCCACTTAATCTTACTGTGATCTCCCACTACGAGCTACTTCTTTCCTTTACATATCCTATATTTGTGTGTCCTAATCACACTGTATTTGGGATGTACACTCTCTAGGTTCCAGAAATATATGACATAATGCTATAAACCAGTACATTTTGGGACATTCCATTTTGTTGCAGTTTTTCAATCTAGAATCCTAATTTCTTAAGAAGTTTACAATACTATAGTGTGGTTACACTGGACATTTTTAAGGAATATTTTGTATTTTTGAGACACATTCCTTGTTAATATTAAAGTGTATTTGTAAAAATTTATTTATTTATTTATATTTCAGATTTAGATACCGCCCATTTCACAAAAAATGACTCTGGGCGGTTCCCAATAAAACAGCAATAAATATTAAAATATATAAAACAATACATTTTTAGAAAAGCTTTGAATCTGTAAAATTCTTTTTAAAAAATGCAGTTGTAGCAATTTGCTAAGCTTTCTATTGAATTAAAGCTATTTTTTAAAAGAATTGAACACCAGAGGGCACACTAACAAACAAGGTCTTCTTAAGATATGTTCATCCGTAGGAATGCAGTGAATAGTTTTTTCAGTTCAAATTCATACTTCCAAAGTTAAAGTACAATTCTCCTTGATAATTTTCCAAATTTTGCAAAGTAGTTTCTGGAGGGAAAAAAGTACATGTGATAAAGAACATTGAGCACATGAAAATATATTGATGAAAAAAAATGCTTAAAGAGTCATTTGAATAAATATGTAGATTGTATACAGAAGTTAACCTGTTATGTGTATGTATGTGCATGAAAGTAAATACATATAATTTTCATGTAGATTTGTAAATACATCAAACCTCAAAAAACAACAAACTTTATGTTAACTTTCTCTTGGGTTCACTGAAAAGATATAGAATTTGCCCTATTTGGTTGGTTGTTTGTTTTTCAAATTTTTGCATGGTGCCATTGCAGAAAATTATGTAATACTGATTTAATAAATGTTATTCTTCTGTTGCCAAAGTCAAATTCCTGCTCCTTCAACATGGGCAAATAATTTGCATGGCACATAAAATACGCTTCTTATGAGAGAGGAATTGGCAACACATCTCAAAGTGACTGATTAAGAAAGATTTAATATTGTGCAGTAGGACACCTGATACATATTGTAGGATTGGGCCTTCAGAATCCACTAAATTGTATTTATTTACTTATGCCACGGTTGTATGACAAGGATATAAAAACTGCAGCACATGGGCCATGCTCACAAACAACTTTTTTACAAGCCTCAGTTCCTACACTAGAATTGACAGACTTGTTTAGGGGTAATTTGGAGGGGGAACACCCATTTCACACTTCAGTCCTCTCCCAGTCAGTTCTTATCCTCAGCATGTTATTCAAAGCCTGGTAGAGCCTTCTGGTCTACAAAAGTTGTACCTCCTTCCTCTGTAGTGTAATTATCAAAGGTGACTTAAATTGTAATCCAGTCTCAGTGGAAGAAGCACCATTATAGGTGAGCTGAACAAGGACTATAATAAAGTTCTACTACTGCTACTACTATAGGACAATACTAAAAATAGCTGTGCTTCAAATTATGATAATGTTAGACAGTGGAAGCAATCTGTTCATTTTAAGGACTTGTTTATTATAAATTGAGTTATTTACCAACATAAATATTATTTTTTTATTATCTTCCCTTTATTTTCTGTAGGATGGAGAAGAACTTGAGAGACTCACCAAACCAGGCAGTGATCATGATTCAGATGAGGAAGCCTTATAGTAAAGGTCTCCAGCTTTTTGGAACCAGTGGACACAGCTGAAATTTGGGGGAGATCTTCTGGATGTTGATGCCAAATGGATAATGGGAGGAGGGCTTGCCTATTCACAAAATAACTGCTATGGGGAACATAATCAGTCACAAAGCACCAATTTACTAGAATGTTATCTGCTGCCCCCCTAGCCATTTTTGAGGTTTCTGTTCCAACACATCTGGAGAGTACCTGGTTGGGGAAGGCTCTTTCACGTCATAGAATGTGAGGGGAAGGAACCTTTTTCACAGTGGAAGTGGTGGAAATCTCTTACTGGTTTCACTGAGGTAGGATTTTTTTAAAAAAAATCAAGATGTGCTAAACGATATTCTAACTACTAACTATAAAAAGAATCTTAAAGTGGGATTAGAAAAATCAGTGGAAGTTATCATTTCTGCTAGTCCTCATGGCTATGCACTACTCATAATGTTGAAGACCATATACCTCTGAGTATTAAATGCAATTGGAATTTTGGGGAGATCTGGATATTCTTGCCAAATCGATGATGGGAGGAGGGCTTGCCTATTTACAAATAATTATTCACATAATCAGTTATAAAGCACTGATTTACCAGAATGCTATCTATATTAATTGCTGGGAATTACTGAGGGGTAATCATCGTCCATTTATTCTGATAGTGGGCATCCCATAGGCAACTGGTTGGTCATTGTGGGAAATAAGATACTGGAGTAAATAGAGCTTATATGTGATCCAGCAGGGCTGCTCATGTTCCTGTATATCTAATCTCCTAAAGTGGAGATTTGTTTTTGCAGCAAAAGAGTCATTGGAATTCAGAAGACTTTGGATACAGAAGGAAAGCATCATTTTGAACCATGTATGTTGAGACAGCTGATTCTTTCACCTTAAAATAAAGAGACCGGAGTGCCACTAAGCTGACAAAGATACCTCAGTTCAGAGATGATGTGAGGGAAGAATTTATTGATGGAATTGTGAAAGCTATAATTTTTTATAGCATTCCAGAAGTACAGTCCTCAAAATATATTTGAATTATTGCATACCATAAACACAGAGATGAAATGGTAACATTTCCTTGTGTGTTAGCTGTGCTTCATACTTTAAGCTTTGGGAAATATTGTTGCCATCATGTGAACATGCCTTGGGAACCATAGTTAATTGTGGATCTTTTCTAGACTACCCCTGTGATATGCACTGTTAAAATCTGCATATGTTTTATCCTCAATATTAGAGTAATTACGATATCATGTGAGTATGAAAGTCAGTATTTGGGCATCTAGCATTTCTTCTATATGCTTTCATCATTACAAATCAGATGAGTTATCCAGCTGATGGATTCAAGCACATACTTTAAATGAATAGGAAATTAATAACATTGTCTTCTAGCCATTTTGCACATTTCAGTACAATTTGGATACTGTTTTTAGTATTGCTACGTAGTAGATGAATTATGTATTTAAGCATAAAATTAAATATTATTTCTTTCAAAATACACCAGCAGGATCACCCTTCTATGATAGTGCAAAACAGGGCTGGGGAAATTATGGTATTCCAAGTATTTGTTCAATCTTAGCCAGTGTGGCTGAAGGGATGACAGGAGTTGCACTCTTAACATCTGGGAGTTTGGTGATAAAAGTTTCTACTCCTAGTATAAACCATGTAACACTGGGTAACATTGCTCAGGTCTCTTTTTATGTGCTGTTATGTCAGAAATTGCGTTGAGTATGTTCATATGGTAGCAAACTATGTATTCCAAATGAATTGTTACTTTCCCTGGTGAATGATTGATGTGCAACCACCCCAGGTTGGTGCTATACAGATGTGTTATTCCATTATTTCTGTAGTTTATTCAGTGACTATTCTTGAAGAATTGTAGTCCAGTTATATCCGGAAGTCACCAGGTTGAAGGAGACTCTTTTATGGCATGTTAGCCAAGAATAATTGTAATTGTGAACACAGACACCTTTCATATCAGGTCATGCCTTTAAGACTCCACCCACATCTAGGTTATGTACTAGAAATGTCAATTCCTTAAAGAGATGTTACCTACCCTATAAATATCTCCTTAACTTTCCATTTGGAACTGGAAAACTGGAGTGCCTCCCATGATTGGGTTGTCTTTGATGTTCAGTCTGTCTTTTGTACACATTAATGTTTGTCTCTGTGTTAAGTTCTGTAAAAGTACAGCATGGGGTCAAAAGAGACACAGGCATAAAATGCAGTGCAACATAGAAAGTTTGTGTTGACATATGTTTAAAGCTGTAACAATGCATGTGAAATTTTCTGTGGATATGATAAGAGAAATTGTATGTTTTTCTAGCATTGGTGATTCAGTTTTGGAATGACAATGTATAAAAGAAATAATATGACTGGGTTCAAGAGATTTAGCAACTATGACTTATAGAGATTTCCAAATTATATTGTGCAAAATAATGCTTGAATTGTGATGTGAACTCTTCACTTTCAGTTTTATACTTCAGGTTTAAGATTCATTTGTAAATATGGCAGCAGTGCAAAAGGTAATACTGCTTAGCAAAATTATTGGAAGAGTAATGTATGAAAATGCTACGCAAATATTCCAGTCAGTGTTATTGTGTTGATATAAGGTGGTTCTGTTAATTGCATACATAACATTTTAATTGATGAAGCATCCCTTTGAGCCTGATTTATCTTACTTTTGTGGCATTCATTCAGAAATACTGTTTGAAATAAGGATTTCTTTTATCACCTTCATTGACACAAGTATCCATTGTGGTTTAATTTCTGTGAAAACTTTAATGGTTTCTGAAGAAATAGTTCTAATGTAACAGAACATACATTCCTTAATGGCAGTTGTTTAAGTACATTGCAAGATGAACTTGCTTAGCAAAATTATTGGAAGAGTAATGTATGAAAATGCTAGGCAAATATTCTTGCCCACTAGTGCCTGGAGTTAATTAAAACTTGGGATATTTTTCTTTTGAGTTTGAATTGTTTTCCAGACCAGAAAAATATACCAGGTAATACGCATCAGCTAGGTAATTGGATGTTGGTTTTATGTATAACAATAGAACTAAAGACATAAAAAAATATATATTTTAGTGACCAGTATGCACTTTCCAAAACAATAAGAAAACCTATATTCAAATACATATTTTTAAAAGCCAGTAATATCACAAATATATATTTATGCTTTCAGTAATGTATGCATTCGTACTAGGCTCTTACTGGAGTCTTTTAAGATACATCAAACTGTTCCGTAAACTGGGTATCATCTCTACCCAGCTTCAAGGTCTTGGATGCCCTAGAATTTGCTCATGCAAATAAAGTTATACTTTTCGTAAGCACATATGTCCTTATTTCTTCCTTCATTTCAGGCAGGACATAGCCTAAGGAAATGAATGTATTATAAAACTTGCATTCCAAGTTATATTTGTTCTATATATAATTATAGTCTGTTAATGAAGAGTTGAGGTCCACTGTATTTGTCTATCAGTGCAGGGGTGTCATGGAAACAAATGGCAAATAGAAAGTGGCTGATTAAGCATTCCTGACCTGATTCTGTTTTGCTAGGACCTACATGACTGTTGGGGTGGATATGGAGTACTGTAATGATTTTCCCCTTCTGGAAAAATGACCTGAGCAGGTGTTTTCTGGATAGAATTAGGAAGATATGGAAAAGGTGAAATATTCATCTGTCAGCCAGCCGCCTTCTTCAAAGGTTCCCCTTTTGCATTCATGTGGCCTGGCAGACTCATTTAGGGAACACATATTTCCCCACTGAATATGCAGTTTATCTATGTTTGAGAATGAAATCTGCCTTGTTTGGCTTGTGGAATTTAACAAGAAATTTCTTGAAAGAGAAGGCTCCGATGCTTTTTGCATTAGTGGGGTATAGCTTGTTTTGCAAATAAAATACCAAAAAATACCAAAAAAACAAAATAAAAATAAATTAAAAAACAAGACTGTCAAATTTAAAGCTAGTGTTGAGTATTGTTTCCAGTTGTGTATTTTGATTGGTTTGGTCTTACTTGTTCCAACATTACCGCTGTCATTCCTAGCATGATGTTTTCAGGAAGTTGTGAAATCACTAGTTTCAGATTACATTGCACTTAAAGAAGCAAAACACAGAGAAACCATAATTTAAATATTCCTGGAAAAATTCCTTCCACAAAATATTTGACAAAACTGCCTAACATGTTTTGCAGGTTAACTTTAATCAGGTTTACTGACATTTTGAGATCATGTATGGACTACCTCCTGACTTACAGATTGCACATGAACATCAATTAAAAATAACCTCATTATTTATCTGTAAAGAACGTGCTTTATAGTCTTTGGCAATTTATACAAACGTTTAGGCTTCTCTGGTAGTCTGTTGAGATTGGTGGTGGTGATGGTGTGTGTGTATGTGTGAAGCTGTTTTGAGGCTTCCTTCCTTTGGAATTGGAGGATGGAAAAACTAATTGAATTCAAGTACAGGACACCACAGGATTGAGGAGATTTTGAATTCCAAGTTAAACAGCAGAAATTACTTTCTTTTCATCATTTCTGCACAGGAAATGGAAAAGGGGGACACTGTACTATTGTTCTACTCTGGAACTGCTGGCCCTTAGGCCTCATGTAAGGTGCAGCAATTGCTATGGCATATTAGGAAAAAGTTTTTCTGACATGCTAAGATTTCTTTTTTAACTGAGAAGAATATGTTGGTCCCTGTATAGAGGAAGGTTATACTAGTTTCCACCTGCAGTTTGAATTGATACATACCAAGTATTATAGATTTGCTTTTTCAGTGAGGAAAGCAGGCAGTTGCCTGGCTGTGCAAAACTAATAACCCAAAGATACACTGACTAAAGTAAAATTAACTATACTAAAGGGTTTGATGAATGAAACTTTGGAGATCCATGTGACAGTAAGAGAATATAAATTTCTCAAAATTTAGCAGTACAGCACACTTCTGATGGAATCAACCCTATTTTCCTTGTGAACTGAGGAGTTGAGAGTATGATCTTTATTCTTACCCATGTAGTATATTTGTTAATGTTGGACTCCCTGATACATAGCAGAAACTATCCTATATGGATAATCTTTCCTGAAGTGAATGTATTCCTGCATATTTAGGTAGGGCAGGAGACAAAAAGAGGCACCTGCTATAGACAAATTTTGGACAATAATACTTACTATTGAAAATAGTTATTATTCATGCATTCTTCTTCATAGCAGATGTTAGGAAAGATAAAGAGAGAGAGACTATTGTGTTCATGTTCTGCCCTGTGGCTTTGCTTAAGTATATGAATAGCTAAAAAGCTGAAATAATTTGATCTTTGTTCTCTTGTATTTTCATTCAGAATCTTCCACTGTATTTAAATTGTTAGCTGTGTAAACTTTTCAGATTGGTAATTCACAGAATCATATAGAGGTGGCATATTATGAACAAAGTTATTTTAGTCATAGCATTTTTAAAACTCCTTTAGGAATCATTTTCTGTAACAAAAACTGCCACAATCCTTCTGTAAAGCTACAGTTTGAAGATCATATTCTGTAACATGATTCACTACTCTTCCTCTTTAATAAAGATTCACAACTTTCAAATATATATTTCCTGGGGGGGGGGTGCAGTTAGAAAAGAATTGGTGTCCATTGTATATGTTATATCCTGCCTACCATACAATGGTCACCATTAAGGAAGGAGTTTCCATTCTATACTTATATAGCACAAGGAAATACCCTCAAGTTAGAAGGGCTCTAAAATATACAGGAGTCTTTATTTCATAAGGCATCAGTGATATTAATTTCACCTATTTCAGTTCATGGAAATGTGTGTTACAGAGAAGGCCAAAATCTTATACACTCCCTTGACCGAACACTAAGGCAATAGAAAACGTTCAGGTAATCATAAAACAATTTCCACATGTGGCCTTTTGTGGCTTGAATGACTACTAAGATGCAAGCAGTCAAAGGCTAAGTTGCTACTTTCGGTAAGGGTATCCATGGTGGTAACTTTCATGGTGACGATAATCATCTTGGTAACCTTCCTGATAACCTTGGTGATAACCATGATAGCCATATTCTGCATATTCATCTTCTGGGCATCGCATGCCAAGTGACTGCTGAATGGCCATTTCCTGTCGTCGAAGCTGCATAGAGTCAATCAAATCATACACAATCACCATGGACCACATTGGGGAAGGATACCAAGATTTGACATTCCCATCTTTGCCAACCAAAAGCATGGAAAAATATTCAGGGCTGATCTGGAAATAATTGCGAATATCTTTCACCAAATGAATGGGGACATCTTCTCGATCCACACTGGAGCTCCCTAGAGAAGTAAGAATTGGAGAAATGTCAAATCTGCAGATAGGATGGTCTTGAAAGCATAACATATTCAATCAATTGTATACAGTATATTTGTAGTTGTAGCAGAAATACCTTTTGATGCTAGAAGGTAACTTAAGATGACCATATCAAAGGGGAAACCTCTCCTTTTAAAGTGTTTTGAAATAAAGCTGAATTAAGACAATTTTCTAACAGCAATGGGAGAAACTTCCCTTTAGTATGTCTAATTTCCTACAAAATTTCTAATGAGATAAGAATTCCAAATTCAGTGTAGAATAATCACCCTTGCAATAAGTTGACCTGCAGCCTAAATTGCCATAGGTTTTTAAAATGTGAAATTTCTCCCTAATGCCACATATTTTTTCTTGCTAATATCCTTTGTCATTTGATAGGTTTGAGATCCTATTCCTGGGTATGGGACACAGAAATATGAACTCTCTAAAGAACAAAATTAGCAATCTAGATTCAAATGGTTTCAATAGAGTTTTCCCAGCAATCTTGTGGGCAGTTTTGTTAAGTGCCCAATGAAGCACTGACAACAGGAGGTGACCTGGGCAGTTGACATGATTGCTCTTGAGTGGCATCTCTCTGTTAAGTGAACTTAAATTGTTCCCTATTTACCAAGGAGGTAAAACAACAGAAAAGATACCTAGAGCAGTGATGGAGGTAGATGAAAAGTTATTCTGACTGCTATGACCACTCTGCACAGCACCTCACTGATAAAGTTGCTCAGATTCATTTAACTTGTTTTTAATGGATAGAGCATGATGTCATGACTGAGGCAGGATCTTGCTCGTTAACTGGGCTCCTGGCCTGTGGACTCAAAGAATACTGTGCTGTCTGGGTTGTCCACAGACACTTGTGGGCTGGAGCCATATCCCTTTGGGCAACTGAAGCATAACAGATGGATCCGCAAGGTTATCTAAAGTTCTCACAAAGAGGTGGTGATGCTGACAGTCTTTAAAGAGCATGTGGGGTAGGACTATGAAAAGTTTCAGAGCTGACAATAATGGCTATAGTAACAAAACATGGTATAAGTTGATCTAACACACATGGAGAAAATTAAGGAAATCTGCTTTCCAAAATGTGCTTTAGTGGAGTACTGTCTGCTGTATTGACTTGCCAAAAAAAAAAAATAATCCAACAAGATCTAATGAAAAGAATACAAAATGATAATAATACATACACCTACAAAAAATAATGGAACAATAAAATGGCAATCCAAACAGCCATTTATCATCCAGTTGGGGCTCCAGCACATCACAACCCAAAAGCCTGGGGAAGGATGACTCTACTATGGACTTATATGAGGTTACTAATAACATTCTACTGC